ATAGTTTCTTACAGACTAAGGAATTATACTTACCTCTTGGACACCACTATAAACCTGTAAAGGATCCCTGTAGCCATATTGTTGTTATAGTACTGCTGTTAAGAAGGCCACGGTACTGTAATATTTGGTGCCTTCTAGCAGAAATATAATTAAATCCCTCTGCACCTCTCCTCTACCTCTCCTCTTCGGTAATTACTGAACATCTGTCTCTAGCACGCGAGCTGTATTTTTGAATTTTTTAGACATTTGTCTTCAGCACGTGAGCTGTATTTTTGAATTTTCTGAACATCTGTCTCCAGCACGTGAGCTGTATTTTTGTTGAAATCTCTGGACATCTGTCTCTAGCACATGAGCTGTTTTCCTCTTCTTAGTAGACCTTAGACAATTGCTATATTAGCAACTCCCTTCTTAGCACATGGTACAAACTGCTGACGAGTTACATCAGAAATATATTTGTAACCATCAGCGAGCACATTTAGACTTAGGACATTTAGCTTTAGACATGCTACAATTAGGCTACCCAGACCTTTCTTGCACTGATTGCTATTACCCTCATCGAACAAGTCCTTGTACACCTTTTGGAAGATTTTGAACCTTTTACAACCTTCACTACTCAGCCTTACTTTATTCTCAAAGGACCCAAGATGCTTTTGCTGTACTTACCAGTACTACCAATTATACTGATACTCATATAGCAATTCGAGATATTATTTTTAGCTGTCACTATACAACTGCACTTCCCAACCCCTGAGACATAGCCCTTACACTTCTTCAACAACATACTCCTCTCTTCCAACTCCCTACCTTACCATTCCAATATCAAAACACCTTCGACTATTACCTTGACGAACCTCAAACCTTTAGTTTTGAAGAATCAGGAAACTTTAGTTAATTCTTTGAAAATTTAGGAAGCCCTATCTTGCAAGCCACCTCTGCAGACAACAGTGTTTGCATAATTGCCTTACCAGAAGACACTCATCATTTCTACGAACCAGAAGATAACCTTCCTCCATATAGTGAAGAAGTTACTTACC